CCCTGGCTTGGGCTCAATAACTGGGATAGTTGCACGACTTTCCAGTAACATGTGCAGTGGTGAAGAGTAGCAGGTCAAATGCCAGGTTGGAGGGCTGGCATCTGTGTACTTTGTACCTAACCTGGGACTCCAGGAACCTCCATTCATCTTTCTAGATATCTAGAAATTGCAGGTGGGGAAGGAGATAGGATAGAGAAGGCTAGCTAATTAAAACACATGGTTGATTTTATTAAGATAAAATGTTTTTTAAGATAAAAATGTTTTTCACTTTTTAATATTACCATATTTATAAACATGATAAACTCAAGAGATATAATGAATGAAACATTATTTTATAAAGAAGGAAACTTTTTGATTTTGAATCTATCAAACTGCTGACTTGGGTATTTAAAGTCATCTTGCTATTAAAAGCCTGTGACTTTCTTGTTTTCAGAATCATAATTCTGAGTGTCTATAAGTTCTACATTTTAGGATTCCAGGTAATGCCTCAGAAAGATGGCAAATTTATCACCTCTCTCTCTCTCTCTCCCTCTCTTTCTCTCTCTCTCTCTCTCTCACACACACACACACACACACACACAAATACACACACACAATTTTCCCCCTTTAAAACTGCAATAGTACTTTCTCTGAGTATGGTCTAGAACCAGCAGCAGTGGCTAAGCGCTCAGAAATGCAAATTCTGAGACCCATCCTGGATCACTGACTCAGAAACCCCTGCAATAGGATGCTCCAGCATGGCTGAAATAGTTGAAGCTTGTGAACTGCTTGGACCCATGTTTACATGTTCCCTTTGTAAGTTCTGACCTTGGACATTTCCTCACCTTATTGCACCAAGTGACCTGCAGGGCCAACTTCGTGGTTTCATGCCAGCCTTTTGTTAAACCATTTCTACAGAGCTGGAAGCTGTCCTTCATATAATCACAATATCCAATAATTTTATTTTAGTCTTTATTGTATTTTTTTCAAGTCTACTTGGAATTTGAAAACATTTTAGAAAGAAAGTAATTTAGGTCCTGCATAGAATAAACTGTGTTGATTCTAATTAGAAAAAAGTAATTAAAAAACCCTTTTATACAATTAACATTAATTGTAAGCTATAAAAATTAATAAATATAATTAAAAATAATTTAAAATAAAATGAGCCATATATTGTAGCACAGACTTATGATCCCAGTTATTTGGGAGTTAAAAAAGGAGGATCACAGTGAGATGCCAGCCCAATGTTAGTGAGCCCCTATCTGAAAAACAAGCCAGACATAGTGGTTCATGCTTATCATTCAAACTACTCAAATGTGGAGGTGGAAGGATTGCAGTCCCAAGCTAGCCATGGCAAAAAATATGAGAACCTATCTAAAAAACAAACCAGAGCAAAAAGAGTTTGGGATATGGCCAACCCTATGCCTAATAAGCATAAGGTGCTGAGTTCAAACAATAGTACTACTGGGGGAAAAAAGAAAAATCATGCATTATTTATTCAAGGTAGTGAATTCCTTACTAAAGGTATTTTATTATCTATTTCCCCATTCCTATCCCTTATATCTCAGTAATTACAGAGGGGAATTTGTGTTTATATGAGACTTATTTCTGAACAAACGCCATTTCATCTTCAGTCTTTTCTCACCTTTTTATTTTTCAGTGCTGGGTAGGGATGGAACCTAAGGCCTTATGCATGCTAGGCAAGTGATCTATGACTGAGTCATATCACCAGACTCTTTTCAAGTCAGGAAAGAATATGATACTATATAGTTAAGATTTCTCTTTTCATACTTATTCTAGAAAGCCAAATATGGTATTCACTAATTATATATAGATACATTAATTTTGTAGTGTGTGAATTTTAGGGGCATTAAATTTTCTTTTCAACACATCCTTTTCAATTATTTTCATATGTTTGAAGTTTAAAACCCTGGGTATTTTAGGTGGAGAATATAGATTCTGTCCCAAAGTGATGTACTTATATCTTATATTTAAATGATGTGTATGAGAGAGAGAGAGAGACAGAGAGACAGAGAGACAGAGAGAGTGAGAGAGAGAGAGGTGTGAGGGAAGAGACAGAGACAGAAACAGAGACAGACAGAGATAGAGAGGGTCATAGGCACCTAGTACTTTAGGGCATTAACATTAATTTTCTGGGATATTTTATATGTATTACAAATAAAATTTGCCATTAAAATTTCAGAGGGTAGTACAACATTGCCTTTCAAAAATAAAATCTTATATATTTACAAAATTTACTTTTTCCATGTCAAAAATAACACAGAATGATCTTTTACTCCTTTGAATGAGGACAGCCAGGGAGAAACCAAACCCTTGTGTGCTACTTTTATTATTAATTTGCTTATATAAGCAAGACTATGGACTTCCTGATAGAGTACACCTGACTGGTGAAACAGCATAGCTTGCACAGCTTTTGTACAGTGACAGCCTGAGTGATGGATTTAATGAGACTGGTTGACTTCTGCCATCATAGCACTCCAATCATTTTCTTTATCTTCTGTAGATTTTCCTTTGGTATCACTTACTTTAAAAAAATCTACTTATAAGTATATAAAGATCTACAAATAAATTTCTACTGTGTTTCTGAAAAGATACAGATTGAACATAAAGATTCTTGACAAATTCAGGCTTTAGATTTTAATTTTAATTATACATGTCATATTCATAATTTCATCCTATCTGAAAGTGAAACAATAGTCTATTTCTGTAATAAAACATATTTTGCACAATAAATACATAGATTTAACTTGTTAGTCTCTTAGGAATGTTTTCTTGTATAGTATTATAAGATTATAGTATTTTCTCCAATATTCTATTTCTATGCATCAACATTGCCATCATTTCAACCTAGGTTTGTTCACACCACAACCCCAAATAAGCCTCCTAAACAAGGAAGGACTACCCTTCCTGCCAACAACAAGCACCAAAGCCAGCTCATATTCATAATTATTCATTTTCTGAAGAATGTTTTGACATGAATGACTCCACAACATTGGACTACTGCCAAATGGTACCAACTTGTACAGCACCTTAGAAGGAGCAGGATAATCACAGAGGCAGAGGACTACTCCACACCTATGGGATCCACCCTCATTTGACCCAATAATGAAGTACTATATTCTAAAGAAAAAGATAAGGTGGCTTTCTTTTTCCTTTAAGATTTCTTAGCAACTAATAAAGTGTGTTTAATAATAGTATAAACTTTCTGAAAGTTACATGAAAACAAAGAACAGTAAAATCTCAATACACAATATTATCATTTCACAACACTAAAATTTAGTTAGAACACAAAGACAAACACAAGCAGCATTAGGGAGGAAGACAGTAAAGAAGAAAAATAGAAAGACTTTACCTTCTACATAGTTAAAGGAGAAATATAAATAACTTTTCATTTTAATAGGGAAATATGTATGTATTTGTATCCTCAAAATGTAATTAGTTGTATTTTACTGGTTTATTCACCAGGTGGGTCCTGCTTTTAGTCACAATCCTGATTTATAGGGGGATCAGTGAGAAGTGTGAATTTCCTGTCACAGGTAAATAATCTGACATAGTTAATATAATAGTTAATAGCTCAAGCAGAGCACTTGTGCTCTACCTCACTCATCTTATTAACTGGCTTGGCTATCTGGCACTAAGTAGAAAACTCCAAGGGCAACCCTTCCTACCCCCACCTGGCTTTACCAGGAGCAACAAAATGATGAAAAAGTGAGAAAAGTCTAGAGGCCATTCCTGTGAGGCCAGTATATTCTTTGGGGCTTTGTTTGGAATACCACTTCAATTGCCTCAATTGCCCTCAACAAACAGGTCTCTAAGTCAATTATTTCTGGCTTCTACCTTCTAGTTGCCATTTCCCTTTTTGTCAAAAACTAAACACAATGAGTTGAGCCAAGCCATGGTGGCTCACACCTTTAATCCTAACTACTCATGAGGCTGAGATTTGACAATCTTAGTTGGAAGCCAACCTGACAGACAAATCCTCTAGACTCTTATCTCCAATTTTCCATCAAAAAGCCAGAACTGGAAGTGTGGCTCAAGTGGTAGAGTACCAGGGAGTGAAAGCTCAAGAGCCTGAGATCAAGCCCAGGTGCTGGCAAGATAAAAACTTCTTTAATGCAATTGTTATACTACATGATTAAGAAATTGTACAAATTCTACTTGTCTGTATGTAAAATATTAGCTTTTTTCTAATGTCTTCATATGCTCAGATCCCTTTGAGTTATCACTGTCTGTACATTTGATTTGACATTGCCCTATGATTCGGTATTACTTGTACATTAAATAGATGTGTAGTTATCTTGTCTCCTTGATAATTAACAAAGATGCTAAGGGCCAATGCCAATTTAGTGTCATTGCTGGATACCTTCCACTATTCACTATGTCATTGTTTATGGTCTATTAAGCAATTTTCATCTCACCTTATGGGCCCATAAAGCATCCAAACTAGAGGTCTCTCAAATTAGGGCAGTGTTACAGACTATTAAATAGCTTCTTCTTTAGCTTTATAATTCATCTCTAAATTGACTTCAGACAATTTTAACAATTTAATTGGGTAAAATGTATGTTTAAATTTCTCAAAGTTTTCAAAGCCTTTTATCCTCCTGCTCTGAATCACAGTCACTGTTTTCTAAGACACACTAATGGTAATGCTTCAAAATTTTCAAAATACTACACTTTTTTGTTCTTATTTAAATGTGTTTTTTTTCCAACCACATTATGCTTTTGTCAAATGTAGCCTTTAATTTCCCCAAAATTCTCTAACCATGCTCTAACTTTATCTTTCATCATTCTTACCTACAGAAGCTATATATTGCTCTCATGCAGAAGTCATCAGGGCAAAGGATCAGATAAAGAGGTTTAGCTGCCCTCAAAATCTACTGACCAACAGGGCTCAGTGAAATGGGCTAATACAGCTATCAGGGAAGCAATGAATACATAAAGAGTTTCTTGCCAAAAATCTACAGTGTAACAATAGAAAATGTATGTAAGTGTTCACTTACCTGCTTTTCATCAACAATTATTTCCAGGTCTTCATCACTGCTTAGTTTTCCATATCCTTGTTCTTTACTTTTCTTGTGAAAGAATAATTTTAAATGATCATTTAGTTTCTTTCCATTAACATCTTAATTCTTACTTAATATTTCTTAAAGTTTACATAACCTCTTTCACAAGGCATCAATGTATTATTCTTTTATGTATAACAGCAAATACTCTTTAACTGCTGCCCCATAGTTATATTTACAACTTTCTGCTTAGTCTTTCTAATTTATGCCTTTTCTACTTTTCTCAATATTCATATGATTCTCTTTTATTCAGTAGTCCAGAAAAAATTCGTAAACACCTTGAGATACATAAGTAATTCCCTGAAGAGTCTTGGCACATTTCTTTTCATTATAGAAACTTCATTTAAAATTATAGTAGGCTTTATGCTTGAAATATAAAATGTTTTAATGACTTTTTCCCAAAAAGGAGAAGTACTATGCAACTCCAAAAACAAATCTTCAGATTTTTGATATTGTTTACAAATCAGATTACTATAAATATTAGAAAAAAACAAGTAATTTTTTTAACAAAGTCAATTTCAAAATTTGGTAGTTAAAAACAGTTGAAGAGTACAGACCATCTTTAAAAATTCATTTCATTCATTTTTCATTGTTATTTTTGTTCCCAATGACCATTCCTTTTCTATTTTCCCCACAGCAAAATCTGTAATTATAAGTTCCAAAGTTGAAAAGAAAGATTATAACAGTCATTTTATAGTTGTTCTACAGGAGAACAGTAATATGTCTGAGTCCGTCAGTTCTTCTTTATTCTTCCAATGCAACAACTGATGGGAATACTAGAAATGTCATGTTACTTCTTTATACTAGCAACATATAGAAAATAAAAATCCCATGGCCAGATTTCTTTTTATCCTTGCTTTAAATATTCATTGCATTAACTAGAATTAAGAAAATTTAAATATTTCCAGTAATTGAATTTACTGCACCACAATATATTCCTCATCCCATTAGATCACCTTTCAGTGACCATGATATAAATCTTTACACTGGGAGCATAGTTTTTCTTCATGTTTTTCCTTTATGACAGTTCAAACTGGATTTACTATCCCCCCATATACAAATATCTCCTATTTTTGTATTTTCATTATCATAAAGAATCTTCAAGTGTTAGGATGCATAAAATCCAAGTTCTCATTCATACATTAATCAATATAGCCACTTAGAAGAGAACAGATGGTCAAAGTATTTCTCCCTATTATTCTTGTCCTCCTTTCAGGTTCCATTTCAGGATTGATGGAAAACAAAACAAACAAAGTTGGCTTCAGTCAAGCTGATTTCCTACCTATCCCTTTGTTTCTGTACCCTTTTAGTCTACTGGTGGCCATAAGATATTGTCCAGAGACCTTCTAATGCAAAACATTTAGAAATGCCTTTCCAAAATTGATCTGTATACGTACCAAGTAGCTCATTTGCATGACCCGATTTCTGGACAAAAGGACATTAAGTAGAGATGGAATGTGAGCCCTTCCATCCATTTCACTGTCAGGCATCCCAGAATTCTTTGCACATGCGGCAGTGGCTTCATTGCCAGAACTTGCTGACCAGAGAACCACAGATCTTGCCCGGCAACAGTATTAATAATGTACAACAATAATTGAAGTATCCCTGAATCATTGTCTTGACTTTGTAAACATTGTGAAATGCTTTGGCTAGCACACACAGTCATTGAAATGAATGTTCTCTTTTTACCTATGCCCTCTTCTACTCCCTAACTGCTGTACCCATTTTAATTTTTTAAAACCCACCCATTACTTATTATATAATATTTTAATTTAATCCCTTGCATATAGACTTAGCTGCTTATCATGAAAATTCTTAACTTTTCCTTTTTAACGCCCTGCCCCACACTTTGCTGACAATCACTGCTAATAGATATAATAATGTCAGCACTCACAGGACAGAACTCAAAATTGCAATTTCTGCCAGTATTGAATTCTAACTCTCCAACTGAATCCCAATGCCCTCTCTGATTTATTAGCCAATTTTCCTGGAAAGTAGGGTTAGAGAAAGAGGGTATGTACCCACTATTCTAGAAACAAGTTGGCATTTTCAAAGAGTGGAAGGAAGCAATCCGAGCTCTGATTTTGTACTTAAGCTCTTAGTTTCCGTTTAAACAGCACACAGAACCACACAAAGCTAGCAGTCTTACAGTTTCACGCTAGAATTAAACAATATTTTCTAGTTTACCCCATCACCTCAGGGGCATTAATCCTTTTCTAAGCCACATAGCCACTCACTTACTGCTTATTTCTAGTGCGAGCATAGTCCTCTTTCAAGCACTCAGCCTCCCACTTTGACTGCTTAGATCAGCCAGCCCAAGCAGGTATCTTCGGCTCTCCTCCCTCCTCCCAGTCGGAAAGCCCTGTCTTCTATCTATGCACTTTGCCAAGCTCAAAAATGCAAGTCCATAGCTTCTGCGGGCCCTTGCATATTAGCCAAAGGACTGAACTAGAAGGAGGAAGAAAGCTAATCTCTCCACTGTCCAAGTGTGAGGGGGCAGGGCTTGTGTGGGAGGAGAAGCTGGAGGGTAATCACTTCCCGTGCTCCTCCCACCTTCCAGGCAAGACACTGGATCTGAGGATTTCAACTAAGGCAGGAAGGTTAGGCCTCTTTCTGCCCAGCCTTAGTATATTACCAGCTTATGACAGACGTTGTACACTGAATGCAGCTAAGGAAAGAGTTAGTGGGGAGGACATGAAGGTGGGAGAAATGAGGGAAGAAAGGAAGGGAATAGTCATGGTTTGCTGACAATGCCTTGTTCCTGTACAAAGCTTTTAGCTTAGGAGAGCTGCTTATTCCTAAACTCCAGGGTCTCCCATTTTCCCACACTATTCTGAATTCTTTCTAAGCTGCAAGAGAATTATCACATTTTATTTTGTTGTTTTTGTTAGTGCTAATGACTTTTCAAATACTATTCTCTTGTAGTTTTCTTAAGAACATGGAGCCTACCTGGTAACCTTTGTTTTCTAAGACTTCCACTGTCTTCTTCCTACCTTCTCTTTCCTACCCCTTCCTTTCACTCTATCCTCCATTAAAGTGGAAAAGTGGACTTGTTCACTTGAATTATATAAATCATGGCATTTAGAAACAATACTGGAAAACAATATCATGGCTACATATATAGAAGGTGTTACAGTGGAAATTTCAGGAAGTTAACAACAAAAGAGCAATAGCAACCAGGCTCATGCCTGCTACTCAGGAGGCTGAGATCTGAGGATCACCATTCAAAGTAAGCTAGGCAAGAAAGTCTGTGAGACTCTTATCTCCAATAAATCCACTCTAAAACCGTTAGTGGCAATGTGGCTCAAGTGGTATAGCGCTAGCCTTGAGCTGAAGAGCTGAGGAACAGTGCCCAGGCCCAGAATTCAAGCCCTATGACCTACCAAAAAAAAAAAAAAGCAACAGCAAAAGTTGATGGGAAGTGCCACACTCATTTCAGAATGTGAGTTTATTATTAAAAGTTAGCATTTCAGTTGAAAGATAATAGCTGTGTATGGACTGAATTGAAAGGAGTCTACATCCTTATTAGGAATTCATAAATATATGAAATTTCAAAAGGGAAACCAATACTTGATTTAGGTTAATCAAATAAATTATCTCCAATTACATATGTCAAAATAAATGTAAATATTTCACATAAACACTTCAAACCTGTTTATTATGTATTCGCTATGACACTGCATGATATTCATAGTAGATATAATTTATTGAAGCAAATGTCACACAATGCAGAATATACAATAGAGCTGCAAATATCACATGCAGAGTATATCGTATAGGTGCAAGGAGAAAATACCTTGCAATTTTCTTTTAGTAGTCAGCTTCATAGTTGTTAAGATTCAGTTCCTATCCTTTTATTTACATGTCTTTATTCCCTTCTGAATCACCTATGCCTGAAAAATTGCTTAGGTTTTTCTTTCCCTAGAAAGTGATTTTTCTCCTATCTGTTCTTTCCTAAAGACTTTAATCTATTCTTTTCTCATCACTGTTAAATTCAAAAGAATGATTTATATACAATAGCAACCATTCTCTACTTTCTTTTCTGTTTTAAACCAATCACAATCAGGATATGTTATCATATTTACTAGCATTCCTTCCTTAGAACAACTGAAATAGAATATCAACAAAAAAGAGGAGAATTGGAAAAGAAGATAATTTGCTGGCAAGGCACTTGTTGAGTTTGGGGTATCTTTGGAAAGTTCCTCCAAGTGGAAATATCTAGATAACAGTTTAGATATGTGGGTCCATATCTAAGATGAGAGGACAACCCATTTGTACTGTTATACTGTTGTACTGAGATGGAAGAGGTGAGGAATAAAGCCAGAGGCTTGGGGAATGGTTATATTTTAAAAATTAGCAAAAGAGAAGAACTTGGGAAAACAATGAGGAAGAAGAGTGGTATAGGAGGAGAGCCAATAGAGTGAGTAGTCAGACTTTTCGACAGTGTCAGATGCTGATGAGAAGTTCACTAATGATATGAACTGAAAGCTATTTTTGAATTTGATAATGGGAAGTCACCAATGAGTAAGATGTGAAGAAGTGAAGATGAAGGCCCAGTTAAATTGCTGAATACATTGGTAATAGGGAGTGACCATAGCAAGACTCATCTCTCTTTGGAAAGATGAAGAAAAATAGAAAGAGGGAGGAAGAAAGCCCATTGCAAGACAAAAGGTATGGGGAAAGATTACTGGAGAAGTTTTCATTTTTTTCCCTTTCTCTTTTTGTAAAGGTCATGAACATATTTACAGTTCAAGAAGGAGCAAATTTATTTTCAAAAAGTTGAAAATATAGATAACAGAGAATAAATGAAGATAATTCCTAAAGCATGAAAGTAAGTCCAAAGATCCTTTGGATAAAGACTTTTTCTTTTGTAAAGTCTTTTGGCATGAAAAGAAAAGAAAACAGATTGCTTAAGAGTGCTGTAAACCTGCCATGGGGAAAACTTGTTTGAGGACTACTTTGCAGAGAAAAGACTGGGTCAGAATGTTACCCTTCCTTTATTGAGGTTCTGGGAACAAAGTTTTTTGGGGTACTTTCTTAATGTAGACATCCATACTGCAATTATTACTTATGTCCCTCAGGGAAAGCCTGTTAGGATGGTGGAGAGTGAATCCTTTGTTTATTGCATTTAATATGCCTCTTCCCTCTGGATTCTCCTTTATTATATTAAACTTCTCAGCTCTGACAACATTTTGGTCTGCATTCCATATTTTTAAAAAGATCCATAGGTCCGCATAGCCACAGTCTCAGCTGTAGGAGCCAAGCAAACATTGAAAAAGTAAGCAGGAAATAGAGGGCAGTTTTCTCTAAAATGAAAAGCTTGCCTTATGGGACATAAACCTGGACCAAACTATTGAATAGCACTTTAAAAATAATTGTCAACTCTCTGATTTTTCTGATATACAAGGGAAAGCAGCTTTCTTCAGGAAAGATGTATCCAAACCTCTTGCCCAAATGTTATGGTAAAACAGAGAAGCAGAGGACTTAATGTTTAGTTTTGGCTCCACAGGGCAAACAAAGCATATGGACAACAAACAAAAGTCATATTCATTTTATATCATGTTCATAAGCCCATGAATTGAGTCATTTTTCTCTTTTAAGGAGAACTTCACTTTCTTACTAGTTGGGTAGCAAAATGGCAGTAATACACAATTTTTACCATAACTTGGCAACCCCTCCTCTATGTTGGCTTTCTATCTTTACAGTGGCTTTTGATCTATAAGATAATGTATATCCTAATTGGCTTATGAAAGCTCTTAAAATATTTTTATTTTCTAACTTTTCCAAACAAAAAGAATTCTCTAATTGTCTATTGAGACCACTCAATCTCATTTCACTGCATACATTCAATTTTAAGCATTTACCTTTCTTCTTTATCTTTGTAGTACTTTATAATGAAAAGATTTAAACTGCAAAGTTAAGTTTTCAGTGAACTTTTCTACACTTGCCACTTAAATTATACTGACCTTTTATTATACTTGCTTTTTTTTTGTATGTATGTCTGTGCATTATGACCTGTTTTTGAAGTTTAGTAAACACTATCACATATCTACAATTCTTTTTTTGGGGGGGGGGTCCGGTTTTGGGGCTTGAACACTGGGCCTGGGCTCTGTCCCTCAGCTCTTCAGCTCAAGGCTAGCGCTCTACCACTTGAGCCACAGTGCCACTTCCGGCTTTTTTCTTTTTGCTTATATGGTGCTGAGGAATTGAACCCAGGGCCTCAGGCTTGCAAGGCAAGCGCTCTACCACTGAGCCACCTTCCCAGCCCCACATTCCTACAATTCTTGCCTGTGAGGTTTTAACTTATTTAATTTTCTTTTAAAACTCCAAAAAGCAAAAACATTGTTTCAATAACCTTCCAATCTAAGTGTAATAAATGTGCAAGATTTCTTCCTCTATAACAAATCATTTCTTTTATCTGAAAAGCAAACCAGTCAACTTCATGTCTAGCATGAAGTGCCAATACTAGGTCTTATCACTAGGATTAGTGAAGGCAATATGATCAAAGGACTGAGGTTTTTGTAGTTATCTGTCAAAAGCTAGCGATCAAACAACTCAAATGTTTGAGATAAATCTGTGGTGTGATAGGCAGTTCAAGTTGATATTAATTACCATGACCTCAATTTTATATCCTTTGATCATCAGTGCCTTTTTCACATATTAAAAAGAGCAAACAACTTCATTATATCCTGGGCTACAGAGAAAACATTTACCTATGGTACACAGGACAGAAGTAGCAAGTCTCAGAACACAGCTAGTGGCTTCCCAGAAGGGTCATGTTTGCTTTCAAGAATAGCACGGGGTAATATATGGAGACAAAGGAGGCAGAATACAAAATTTAAACTTCAAATTTCAATTATGTCACATTCATCAATATGCTACATTACTTTGGGGAAAACAAGTAATCTCTTTCTTCTCTCCATTTGAAAACAAATGGAACTACAATGTAAGAAAGGACTAAACAAGAAACCAGTAGTTTTTACAGAAAATTCTGAGTCTGATTTTCTTTCGTATGGATAGGTTCTTTTGCCTATGACATCTTTTTCCCATTTGCTCTAAAGTTGACTTTACCAGAAGCTGTAAATGCGGTAGTATGGCATGTAATGCATGATATATAAAAAAGTATTTTCTGCCTGCTGAAGACACTACTGGCAGAAAAATTAATCTGCTACTCTCTTGATGGTATGTAGTTTTGGTGCTATTTCCCAGGCAAGATGAAACTAACAAGCACTTTCATTTGGTGATTGTGGCTTCGTGCCTGTATAAACAGGGCTAGTCTGTCCACATAACATGACTGGAATAGTTGGTATGAGATGGTAAGGAATTTGAGAGAATAAACCTAGTAGTTTAGATTCTCAAACAGTTAGCAAATGCTACTACCACATAAATATACAGGCTTACACCTACCCCATCCTGGCAATTAAGAACAGTGTAAAAATGCATGTTCTATATCTGCAGTATGATAAAAATACT